GAGAGAGAGAGAGAGAGAGAGAGAGAGAGAGAGAGAGAGAGAGGCAGGCAGACAGAAAGAAGCAGACGGGCGGAGAGATTATGGCCCATGAGAACAGACAGAAGCAGCATCATGCAGCTTTTGCATGACCCTGCCGGCTTTTTGAGTACAAGTTCCCCACTCGCGAGACAACAAAGCATTTCGGACGTCTTGGTCCCCCAGGTGAATGCAGGAAGCGCCTTTCCGTATGCGCATCGCGAGGCGCAATAACGTCCAAGCAGAGCAATACACCCAAGCTCACAGCCGTGCTCATCTACACAAAAACCTCGGCCGTCAGACGTCAACGCGAATCCCTTTAAGGTACGCCTACACGTTGAGAACATCAATCAGTACGCCACCTTCTTCTCATCCCGATCTAGCTGCACTCCGTCCCCCGGCTCCTTGTACACCCCAGTCCTCATTAGCTCGTGCAGCATGACCGTGTTGTGGTGCGCCAAACCTTCCTCCACGGCGGCGCGCACCATCGACGTGTGCAGCGTCTCTCCGAGTGGAGCGTTCCGGTCAGCGGGATGCTCGTTCTCCTGACGGGGGGGNGGGGGGGGGGGGGGGGGGGGGGGGGGGGGGGGGGGGGGGGGGGGGGGGGGGGTAGGACGACGAAGTAGAACGTGGGAATCGGGATCAGGGCAGTAGAAGCGGGATGGAGTCCAAGTGACTAAAGAGTCTTGGATTAATCGGCGAGACTCGGCTATGTGGTGAAGCAAGAGAGACTCGGAGTCGCCGGAAGACAGGAGCATTTGGACCCCTTGCTCTTTCCTTCGGCCAAGCTGCATGTACAGCTAGGTTGCACGTTAGGCGGTGCGAAACGTGCCAAAATGCACTTGGGCGACCAACACCTGTCCGTCAATGAGAAGTCAAAAGCTTATGAATCGTTGTATATGCATATACACACACAAAGGTTAGGGTAACGCACCTCTTCTTCGCCGCCCCCGCCTCGTTGGTGGACCGTGAGGGTGGCGCGAAGCAGGCCGACCATGCGGTGCCTTGCCGCCACGAGGTCGCGCCCGGTCGCAGGGTCTTTGGGAGAAGCCTTAGACGCCGTCGCCAGGTCTGAAGAAAAAAAAAAAAAATCGTGTTCATACGACAAAAGAAAAGAGGTGGTACACCGGTAAAAGTACAGTGTGGTGAGCTCAACCTTTTGTTCTTGGGAAAACGAACTGCGTTGTGCGTGTGTTGAAAGAATTTTAGGGCTTTGAATACATAAAGAGGAGTATAACTTGCATAATGGGAATAGTTGATACTTCGAAAAGTCTTGTTTGTTGTCGACGATTTACGGGTGGGCGGGATAAGCTCAAGAAAGGAAAATTCTGTGAAAATACACCGCAAAGCACACACAAAGCTGTAAAATAAGCGTGCGGATTGGGGCAACACAAGTGCCGCGTCACATCGCCAGGCTATGTACCCAGCCGGTTCAACGTTCTATGACACACCAAGGTTTGCTCGACAAGGGCTACTGACGCGTTTTGGCGAAACACAAAGTATCGTTGTATTTGCTCTGACGAACAGTTTGATCGACAAGGCATGCCAGCAATTGCGACATGAAACCACGGTGTGACACGAGAAACACAACAAATCAAGTCAACGCAACTCAGGACATACCACCACAAAGGCCTTGCCGCTCTGTCATGAACCCGTCGAAACGGGCCCCTCAGGGCGAGCTGTTGCACATCACTACACTCTCCACAATCCCGGCGTCAACGACAACCCAAGCCAAACAAACGCGTCTGTGCACAATACATGCCGCCATTTGTTTCGCAACAGATTGTTATTCACCGGTTGAGATCGAAGCCTTCTCCTCGCACAGCCGAAGAAAGTGCACGAAGCCTTCGAAGGATAGCTCCGTGCACACCCCCCAAGATGACCGCTGGTGGACGTGGTGCGTGCCCCCGTTGCCGTCCTCGGGGTCCACGGACGATACCCCCTTTGTTCGGTAAAAAAAAAATGAAAAACAAGGGGCATGGTCTAGATATGTTGGCTGCTTCAGTAGTGCATGGTATTCTTCCACCTTTTTCACAGACACCGCATTTTATACAAGGGGGAAAGAAGTCACGGTTTCCATCGATGATTTAAGATATTCCACACTGACTGCTTTTTTTCGAGCTTTGTTGATGTCCTGTACCTCCATGTAGTTTTCGCCTCCTGCTACACAAACTATGCACCGCAAGCCGTACTGATTAACCCCAGCAACCCCCTGCTACACATGCGACCTGAGCGAACGCCAGAAAAAATTGCGTCATCCACGCTTTGTCAGGCGTTATCGGAGCCTACTGCTGCAGTTTGCAATATCAAGTTGGGTTTATCCCGTATGGAAACGGAATGCAGGTTGGCACAGGAAGGAGAAGAGCCAACAGCATGACGTCCACGCCTTTTTTCACGCTTGATGGGCGCTATTGCAAGCAATGCCAAGTCGCTCATGGCGCCTACGTAGTGCGTTAAAGAAAAAGATATCGAATGAATTTGTCCTGGGAATCTGGGGCTACAACTTTTGGTATGCTTGCTTGGGTGGGCGGTCTTCGGTAAACCTCACAGCCGACCGGTCACCTTCACAGCGCACGCTTCAAGCCAGGCGCTCTCCAGATCCTCCACGTAGACATCGCCCTCCGCGATCTGCGCCTTGACCTCTTTGAGCTTGAGGACGCTCCGAAGTCCCACAAACTTTTTGTATCTGGCGTTCGCACATACGGACGATGTTGGTCGAGAACTCTAGGGGTAACAATACAATGCAAATGGTGCTCGACTGCTGCCATATTGCGATATTTTCAAGTGCTAAAAACTGGGAACAGAATGTAGATTGCTTGCATGCAGCGACGCGAGTGGTGACGGGGCCAAGAGCGCACGAGCGCACGGCAATGATGATGTAAAAGTGGTAATCGGCGCCCCGTATAATAACCGGGCACACGCTGTCGAAGTTTGAGAATGATGCAGGCTGTAGACGTAAGTGCCAATTACCGTATATGACACAAGATAACACACCCCCTTGACCGATTTTCGAAGCTCGATTTCTCAACCGCAGGAACAGTCACAGCGCCGAAAACGGCGGTGTTAAAACCGTCTCGTCGAGAGCTTTTCGAAAATGTATCATTTCGTTTATGCATCCTCTTCGTCATGGAGTAATCGAGCTTTGAAAATCGGTCCAGGGGGTGTGTTATCTTGTGTCATATACGGTAATAACGTCGAACACTGTAGTTGCATGGTGCCCATTGGCGTTGAAGAGCCCGTCTACTTGAAGCCACCAACATGCCAAGAGCAGGATGTGCTCCAGGTGCTTTTTTTCTTAGCATAGATCTATCATATGCTGTAGCACATGCTTCGTCTCGCATGCTTCGTCTGTTCGTCATGCACAACCTGCAGACTTGTGCAGACTACAATACATGTAGCGAAAATATCGCGTCAAATGTTCACGACTGTCTGGCTATAAAACTGACTGCATTTTTCAGAGTTGCGAGTGCTAGACCCTTCAAAACGTAAGACGCGCGCACATGTCACTGTTTGGCACCATCTCATATTGACCACGCCCGCAACATGGACGCATCCTCCCTCTTCTGCGAAGCGGAGCAGGGGCATGTACATGTCAAACCCTGCTTGCATGGACGACTGAAATGTTCCGAGATTGTATGATGGTTTGAACGATGTGATGTTCTCTCGCGCACAAAGCAAACCTCACCCGGCGATATTAGCGAACACAAGACGTAGATCATTCAGCTCTCGAGCCGCTGCTGCCGCTATATCGTCTCCTCCGCCGCTGTCGTTGTTGGATCCAGCCATTGCACAGAGTGGCGAGCTTGCGCGCGCAGACTAATCCCACCGCCTCGTTCGACTTCTGCCTGGCGGAGTTATGCGTATGTAGAGAGGGAGGAGGACGATAACGACGTATAATGCTCCGAATAGGCAGTTGGCCATGGATTACCCTCGTGAGTATCAAAGAGGTATGGGCATGTACACGCGCGTAACCTGCCTGTAAGCTACACGTAGCTAGTTCGGGTCTCTTTTGGTTCAGAGCACTTCGTTTTCGCGGTGTCTGGGGGCTTGTGTGTGTAAGACAGCTGCAGTCCGACATGGGTCATGTTGAAGCAAAAACCAAGTGCAACTTGTCGAATCGACGATCCACCCCCAGGACACAAGACACCCACGGCATGCATTGTACGGGCCAACGGGCAAGAACGGTAGAGGGGATCTCGCTTGCCTACAACGTTTTCGAGCACCCCAATCTCAAAAGGATCACCCAAAGAAGTATTATTAGTCTGAACCTCGTATCTCCAAACGCGCTGCCTCTGTTCCCGCTCTTTTTCGGCACACACCCGATCTTGCATTCGAATGGCTACGCGCGTTTACCTTCCGTGCCTACCCTCCTGTCGCCGAGAGGAGACGCAACGTCGTCACCACAGGCAGTGCTCGTAGCACCTGGCCGCTTTGTTGTCTGTCGTGATGCCCTCTCAAAGCAAAGTAGATGTGGTTGATGGGTTTGTGTACAGGAGGGGTACACGAGCGAGAATTGGATTCCGTCTGCTCGAACCTCCTCTCCAATCTCCAAGTGTTCTTCAAGTCCTGTTTTTTTTTTCCGAAACGTCACTTAATATTTCCAAACGGCACTTGACTTTTGCAGGCGGGTTCCTGGCGGGCTGGCTGCAGCATTCAGTTTGATTCAGTCAGTTCACTTCCCCTCCGACTGCTCTGTGGTTTTATATCCCGAACGGGATACTTAGTCTCTCTGTGTTTGAATGTATATTCCCAGGCCTAGCGTGTCACGCAGCCGTCACAGCAAAGACTTCAAACACATCACCCTCGCTGAGCGTGATCTCGAATGAACGAACTGGCACAGTCTTTTTCCCGCTGTGTGTTGTAGAAAAAAAAAAAGTTTTCTCTGCAAATCTACGAGCGATGTATGGCGAAGGTTATGTTTGATCGTTCCTGGAAAGAAAAGCACGGGGGCGGGGGCGTCTGTTTGTTGCTGTGTTCGTCGAAGTGGACGTGGTTTCTGGTCAACCCGGTCAACTAGAAACCGATGTCGTCAGTGTTCTGGTTAACCTGCATAGACGTATGCATACGAATCGCAGCAAGCGGGAGACGAAAATTTTACATGTCTTCCTCCTCTTTCGCCCTCCACTTCCTTCCTAGAGCTCATACGATGTTCTCTTCCAAAAACGTAACGGCCCCTTTCACCACAATTTTTTCGATCCTCCTTCATCCTGCTCGCGAAAAACACGTCAATCTGTTAAGCTACTCTTTGTTCTTGAAACACAACTCCACAGTACAGCCGTAGGAAAACAACCGCGATCATGAACCCCTCCAAAAATCTACCTGTCTCACAGTCTACTACACGGACAAACGCTTCCAACAAAAAATCGCCGTAAAACGGGACAACGCTCGCCAAGGCCCATTATCCGGCATCGTAACACACACGCCCTACTACATCCACATACGTGGCGCTACGAGAAGCAACAACAACGCTACAAAACAACGCTACAAGCAGTCTGAAGTTTCACCATAGGGTAGAAACACACATTATACAAAAACAACATATCGCTTTGACCCCCCTCTCCATTTTCATGAAATGAAGACGCGGAAACTTGTACAGCAGCACTCCTCCCGGGGGAACAACGCAAAAAAACATAAAAGAGATCTAGTGACCGGCCCACTACGTAAACGCAAACTCGGAGAACTATCTACCAACGTAAGCAAGTTGCTGGCACCTCAACCGTTGTAGCGTTCACTCTAAAAAACCAACCTCCCCGCCTGGTCTTGTTTCTTCTTTCTCTCTCTCGCAGTGCTCTAGGGGGTCGACGACGCGGCCTTTCCGGTCCTACGCGCCGCCACGCCGCTGGGCCACACTATGCTACGTACCCTTATGTATTCACTCGAAGCGTCGCGGCGTCGCCCCTCTCCTGGTGGAGGCCTTTTCTTGCTCGCCAAACATGGATTGTTGCTGCGGCGGAAAAGAACGGGGCGAGCGATAAACAAACGTGCGTACGGCGGTCGGCGGGAGGAAAGGGGGAACGAAGTGCGCGCCCTCTCCATCTGAAAGGGGCTCCGCAAACTGGTTATGAGAAGTAGAGGTCGCGGCGGGGCGCGGAAGGCTGGCATCCAAACAACTCTATCTTTGTATAAAACGGTGAAAGCGCCCCTACCCAAATGCCCGTGAAGCTGTCGGGACATGTATTTCAGTTGGCTGCACACTACAAGCGACTACGAGAGGTGTGGGAGAGGGCGAGAGAGAGAGAGCAAGAAAAGTACAAAGAGGTCCTACGTTACACATATCTAGTTCTAGCGTACGACTACACATGTTAACTTCAACCCAGATTTCGAGGGATGAAAGCAAACAACCCTATCGTAACGACGCGGCCGGCTCACCATCCCAACGGGAACGATTTCGGGGGTGACGAAGTTGACGTGTTCGTGGCCCTCGGAGCAAGGCACCATGATCGCCTTGTTATCGCTCCCCCTGCCAAGGCAGTGCTTCCCACCCTGTCCGCCAGAGCAAGCAGAGACAGGAGGCGAAGGGCGGAGGCTACCAATGATCATACGCGTCCAGGTAAAAATTTACTCGAAAGAGGAACATACAGTCGGATATGCGAAAAAAAATATTGGCGTGCTGCTACTCGCACGAGTCTCTTCCATTCACATCGTGGCCGCCCGCGTTCCTACACAGCAGTGGCGAGGGATGGAGCACGCCCGAGGGAGGTTCTGGAGCATAGAGGTAAGATTGACTCACCGCCATATCGGGGTCCTCGTCGTGAGATTATCATGCATTTTGTGCGCCCCTACGGTAAACATGTCACAATGGGTCATTTTCCCTGATAGGAAAATGGGAACAAGCCTCAACGTTCGATGTGTACAAAGCCAATGCCCGTGGGAGGCTCGTTCACGTGTCTTTCATTACGAGGAGATGCGACTGGGCCACCACCACAACCCACCTGCGTCAACTTGCCGTCCCTCCATCCCCATCTAGCGGCCCCCTTGTTCTTGCAATCTCCTGCGATATCATCACCATCAAGGCGAACGATCGGGAAGTGAAAAATTTCCGTCAAGGTCGATTTTTTGTTGCAAATCGGCGACAAGTACTGATTTCCTGTTTTGAAAAGTTCTCACCTTTTCTTTCTCCCAAAATATCGACTACTGAAATTAAGATTTTTTCAACATCGTGGCCAGCGGGGGCGTGAGTTTTGATTCAACTGTGGTTGTTACGTACGCCACCAACGTGGTAGCCTATGCGGCGTCGCAGATTGCGCTTGCGATTGACCTAGAGACCGACATATTGAGCTTCGCAGTGGTTCACGAGACAAAACATATCACGCACGCGAGCAAAGACAGAAGGCCAGAAATCGCAGACTTTACCCCCTCCAGCATTCTTAGTGAGACTCTCTGTCTGTCTGTCTGTCTGTCTGTCTGCCTGTCTGTCAGTCTCTTTGCTCCTCTCTGCCTGTGTCTGTTCCTCCAATCCCTCCTCCTACGCTCACCTTTTCTTGCCGTCTGGCCTTCCCGCACCGCGCACTTCTCTCGATCGAAAAAGTAGAAGAGGTTTCGCGATGGCTCCGTGGACCGGAAATCCATGCCGATACCCCACCTGATTGGTTGACCACCGGCACCGATAACGAGAAATTAATGAACTCGTTGCGTGGTTCCCTTTCTGGCGTTGGCGGGCAAATTCAACCAATCGATGATGTATGCGACCTCTGGAAGACAACATGTTTTTATTATGTTTCTTATATCTATAAAGAAGACAACAAATCCTCCTCTTCCACAGAGAAGAGTCCGTGGTCGAATAGCAATTCATTTATTTATCGTGTTGTCAAGGTGACCAAACTATGTTTGTATGGTTCCCCAAGCAGCATACAGCGGTGTATCCCCTGTGGGTAACGGGCCCTTTTGTCCGTTCTCTCCGATGCCGGAAAAGAAGAACGGCGTGCTTGCACACTCCACAATCGCTTGCTGGCTGTTGGGTTTGCTGTTGCTTGTGTCGCCTCAAACCTACACTAGCATTCATTGCTGTCTCGAGGTGCAAGCAAGTAGCGAAACAAGCACACACGCACCACAAAAATCCAAAACCATCGTCCGAACAAGGCTGCCGTTGGATTCGTAAAAAAGGAACATCCTTGGAAAACCATCTCTCAACCCAAGGACACAGGTCGGCAGGATATAGATCCAATCCAGTAACCTAGGCAGTCAATCACTGTCAAGAAAAAACACTAGCGCCCGTTATTCAAAATTACCGTGAAACTTACGGATGTAGTTCTTGGGGGAAACCTTGACAATCGCCTCTGCCTAGTACATTGCAAATCGCACCGGAGATACACACCTGATGCATCCGTATCTACTCATCGCATGGAAATCAAGCGAATACGCATCGAGCAGGAACTCGTATCTCGCAAGTCGCCCGCACAGCTCAACATCGATCGGCTCATAAGACCAGCAAGACATTCCCCGCACACGCCGTGCCAATGATTTCACCTGAGGGTAGGGTCGCCATCGTTACAAGTCCGAAACCGCGCTCCGTCGAAACAGTAGTCATCCACGGTGGCGATCTGCATGCCCGCGACGTGGATAGGCGTTTCCACGACCTCTAGAGCAGTGCCCTTNGGGGGGGGGGGGGGGGGGGGGGGGGGGGGGGGGGGGGGGGGGGGGGGGGGGGGGGGGGGGGGGGGGGGGGGGGGAGGGGGGCAACGTGCGCAAGTCGGCGCGAAAGAAGGCAGAGGGAGTCGAACGCGGAGCAGAAAGGTTTTTCGGACGTCTTGCGTGATTCGATCATGATCTACTGTAGACCTTGCCTTTCCAGCCGTGTGGCCAACCTCCTTTTGAAGGGCGAACACAACATCCCCTTGACCGATGTGCGCAACATGGAGAACCGGAGGGGGGGGCGTACTAATGTTTTGAATGCTTAGTCGGTAGGCCATTCAGCACGCGTATTCGAGAATGCGGAGGAGGATTGTCTCCACAGAACCGATCACCGATGGTCAATCGTCCGTTCCTATCTATCCTGTCCATATCATTGCCCGCCTATTAAACCCACTTCTTACCCCAGTATAGCTGCTGTGTTTTCATTGGCTATCTCATGCCCCAAGCTTCTCTGTGAAATTTCTTTCCTTTTTTCCCGACTCGGTCACGTACAGTTATCTTTCCTTTTCGCAAAACGGGCATTCTGCAACTTCATCAACCCGCTCTTCGCACTCGGAGCCACATTCCCACGAAAAATTGTCGTTGTCTTTGTCTACCTTCCTAAATCTTCGTCTACGTTCTCGGAGGCAAACGTCCTCGGTCCTAAACTTGACCTTCAGCTTTCCCCGTGCACCCATTGGTCAGTGTCGGTACTCCTTGAATCCTGTTCCCTTTTCGAGCACTCCGTACGCCTCTAGATCGTCCTCCTACTCAATGGCTTCCGTTGTTCAGTTCTTCTTTGCTTTGCGCCAGAGAGAAGAACGAAACAAACCGAAGCAATCGAGGGATAGCACGGTCTAGAGGTGTACGGAATGTTCAAAGAGGGAAAAGGGTTCAAGGAGAACCCATACGGACCAAATGGATGCAGGGACAAAGCTAAAGGCCATCGGGGGGGGGGGGGGGGGGGGGGGGGGGGGCACG